CTGGTAATTGTCCCTTCCACTTCCAGAACCTTTTCTCCTTTTGCTGATCGAAATACAAAAAGGAGAGATGACCCTGATTGGGTCTTCAATTTTCTTATCGCCCTTTAAGAAAGATAAAAAAATTAATATTTAGAAGTTGGATTTGATGTGACCTTATTTATAAATTCATGATAAGATAAATTATTCAAGCTTGAAACTTGAACGAAGACTCAAGAAAACGTCATCAGAATATCTCCCATCAGTTAACTGGACTCATGTACACTTATTTTGTGAAAGTAACATGTATGTGTGAGATTTGTCAAACTACCAAATTACAAATTCTGAGTTTCAATAAGAGTATATCCAAAGAAAACAAGGGTTGAAGTAGTTTTCAGTTTAGCATACATCTGCCAGTTTGAAGAGAGCCTTGAACTCCTAAGCATGCTAACTCCATTTTCTTTCTTTAATTCTTTGTTTCTGATGCACACTTTCTTATTTCTTTACATTAGAATAGCCTTCCTTAATTGATAATTATAGTAATATAAAATCTAAAGCATGTAGTTCCTATTTTGCAGCAGAACTACTACATAAGACTTAGCTTAAATGAAGACTTGACATTTAAATTTGAATATCTGTGTCATGATTATTTTTAAAATTATTATTATTCAAAGTTTCGAATTGTCTGTTTTTATATTGCTTTTGTTCCTTATTATTATTATACAATGCCTTAATACCTTAATTTTTATTGTATGTGACAGTCACAGAGACAAAGTGGTTCTTTTGTTCCAACTACACACAGAGACAGAAAGAATGCATGTCCATCAAATACACAAACAAGAGGACTTTCACTAGGACCACACAAAGGAAAAGAGCCACAAATTGGTTTACCACAGAACAAGGAAATACATACTTGTATTGGCCCAATTGGGAGCTAGAGGAAGTGGGATAGGAAGATCTCAGAATCCAAAAAGTACGTGAAATGATGTGGGATATGGGACATTTGTAATGTTAAACAGTGTCATTTTTTTTGCTGGTATTTTGCAATCTGTTGCTGTTAGCTATTTTCTAAGTTTTAAAGAAGAGTAGTTTTTGCAACTTTTGATTGTGGATCAGGTTGGTATATTTTTGCAATCATATATTGTATGGCTTATTATACTGGCATCTACCTTCGATCGAATCAAATGAAGTTACTCTTTTGGGTTTTCATGAATTAGTATTGCATAACTTATTATACTAGGATCTAACTAAATTTTCTTCGACTATTACATGAATGTACTATAAGAAAAACACAAAATAACCCAAAATATTCTTCAAGCTAGCTAAGTGAGTGTTTAGAAAACATGGTACCTGGAAGCCAAAAAGTAGTACCTTTAGTTCAAATATGTGGTACCTTCGCAAAAGGGACTTATTTTTGCAATTGAAAATGGTATTACACCACACACCGCTAATTAGGTTACACATTAGATTAATAAACAGCTCCATTAGGGCCATGAATAACATAATATATTCTCCAAGCTAGTTAAGCGAGTGTTTAAAAAACATGGTACCTGGACGCCAAAAAAAAGGGACTTATTTTTGCAATTGAAAATTGTATTAAACCCCACACCGCTAATTAGGTTACACATTACATCTATAAACAGCTCCATTAGGGCCATGAATAACACAAAATATTCTCCAAGCTAGCTAAGCGAGTGTTTAAAAAACCTTAGTATCTAGATGCCAAAAAATAGTACCTTTAGTTCAAAAATATGGTACCTTTGGAAACAAAGTGGTACATTCACAAAGGGACTTATTTTTCCAATTGAAAATGGTATTACACCCCACACCACTAATTAGGTTGCACATTAGATAAATAAACAGCTCCATTAGGGCCATGACTAACACAATATATTCTCCAAGCTAGCTAAGCGAGTGTTTAAAAAACATGGTACCTGGACGCCAAAAAAAGGAACTTATTTTTACAATTGAAAATAGTATTAAACCCTACACCGCTAATTAGGTTGCACATTACATCTATAAACAACTCCATTTGGGCCATGAATAACACAAAATATTCTCCAAGCTAGCTAAGCGAGTGTTTAGAAAACATAGTACCTGGACGCCAAAAAGTAGTACCTTTAGTTCAAAAACATGGTACATTTGGAAAAAAAGTAGTACCTTCGTAAAAGAGACTTATTTTTGCAATTGAAAATGGTATTACACCCCACACCGCTAATTAGGTTACACATTACTTCTATAAACAGCTCCATTAGGGCCATAAATAACACAAAATATTCTCTAAGCTAGCTAAGCGAATGTTTAAAAAACATGGTATCTGGACGCCAAAAAAAGGGACTTAATTTTGCAATTGAAAATGGTATTAAACCCCACACCACTAATTAGGTTGCACATTACATCAACAAACAGCTCCATTAGGGCTATGAATAACACAAAATATTCTCCAAGCTAATTAAGCGAGTGTTTAGAAAACATGGTACCTGGACGCCAAAAAGTGGTACCTTTAGTTCAAAAACATGGTACCTTCGGAAAAAAAAGTGGTACCTTCGCAAAAGGGGCTTATTTTTGCAATTGAAAATAGTATTAAACCCCACACCGCTAATTAGGTTGCACATTACATCTATAAACATCTCCATTACGGCCATAAATAACACAAAATATTCTCCAAGCTAGCTAAGGGAGTATTTAAAAAATATGGTATCTGGACGCCAAAAAGTGGTACCTTTAGTTCAAAAACGTGGTACCTTTGGAAAAAAAAATGGTACCTTCGCAAAAGCACTTATTTTTGCAATTGAAAATAGTATTACACCACACACCGCTAATTAGGTTACACATTAGGGCCATGAATAACACAAAATATTCTCCAAGCTAGCTAAGCGAGTGTTTAAAAAATATGGTACCTGGACGTCAAAAAAAGGGACTTATTTTTGCAATTGAAAATGATATTAAACCACACACCGCTAATTAGGGTGCTCATTACATCTATAAACAGCTCCATTAGGGCCATGAATAACACAAAATATTCTCCAAGTTAGCTAAGCGAGTGTTTAAAAAACATGGTACCTGGACGCCAAAAAAAGGGACTTATTTTTGCAATTGAAAATGATATTAAACCACACACCGCTAATTAGATTTCTCATTACATCTATAAACAGCTCCATTAGGGCCATGAATAACACAAAATATTCTCCAAGCTAGCTAAGCGATTGTTTAAAAAACATGGTACCTGGACGCCAAAAAAAGGAACTTAATTTTGCAATTGAAAATGGTATTAAATCCCACACCGCTAATTAGGTTGCATATTACATCAATAAACAGCTCCATTAAGGCTATGAATAACACAAAATATTCTCCAAGTTAGATAAGCGAGTGTTTAGAAAACATGGTACCTGGACGCCAAAAAATGGTATCTTTAGTTCAAAAAAATGGTACCTTTGGAAAAAAAGTGCTACCTTCGTAAAAGGGACTTATTTTTGCAATTGAAAATAGTATTAAACCCCACACCGCTAATTAGGTTGCACATTACATCTATAAACAGCTCCATTACAGCCATGAATAACACAAAATATTCTCCAAGCTAGCTAAGCGAGTGTTTAGAAAACATGGTACCTAGACGCCAAAAATGTGTACCTTTAGTTCAAAAACGTGGTACATTTAGAAAAAAAGTGGTACCTTCACAAAATGGATTTATTTTTGCAATTGAAAATGGTATTACACCCCACACCGCTAATTAGGTTACACATTAGGACTATGAATAACACAAAATATTCTCCAAGCTAGCTAAGCGAGTGTTTAAAAAACATTGTACCTGGACGCAAAAAAAAAGGACTTATTTTTGCAATTGAAAATGATATTAAACCACACACCGCTAATTAGGTTGCTCATTACATCTATAAACAGCTCCATTAGGGCCATGAATAACACAAAATATTCTCCAAGTTAGCTAAACGAATGTTTAAAAAACATGGTACCTGGACGCCAAAAAAAAGGACTTAATTTTGCAAGTGAAAATGGTATTAAACCCTACACCGCTAATTAGGTTGCACATTACATCAATAAACAGCTCCATTAGGGCTATGAATAACACAAAATATTCTCTAAGCTAACTAAGCGGGTGTTTAGAAAACATGGTACCTGGATGCCAAAAAGTGGTACATTTAGTTCAAAAACATGGTACCTTTGGAAAAAAAGTGGAACCTTCGGAAAAGGGACTTATTTTTGCAATTGAAAATGGTATTAAACCCCACACCGCTAATTAGGTTGCTCATTACATCTATAAACAGCTCCATTAGGACCATAAATAACACAAAATATTCTCCAAACTAGCTAAGCGAGTGTTTAGAAAACAAGGTTGCCAAATATAAATAAATAAGTTAAAAATGATAAGAAGGGTATTTTAGCCTACACAAATTCTAAACAAATTTTAGCGAAATATGCTCTACTTATGAAATTGAACAATTAATGAAGCAAATTCTAGTGCAGTAATTTTAGCGAAATATGCCCTACTTTCTCTTTCTTTGTGACCCCTGCTCGGGAACTCCAATTAATAAAGCAAATTCTGGTGCAGTAATTATTTTGAGATCCTGTAGTCTTCCAGACTGGAACCTGTTTCTCTAAAGTTGTAAGGTAGTCTTTGTGGGTTAACCTGTTTATTGTTCCTTCAATGTAAATCAGCTGTTTTTAAAATTTTCATGGTCTGTATTTTAGCATTTTGCCTGCCACTGCTTCTCAAGGTTCCAATGCTCATGCTCTTGGTCTGGTTTTGCTTTGTGTCCCTCCAGAAATTTCACTTAATTGATTTGGAAATCTTATCTGGAAACACGAACACAAGCAAGACTAATTTCTTTTAAATGCATTGGAAATTGTAATTTGCTGTTTTTCAGTTTGGGTGTTCATGGTATTAGTGACCCGACTCGACTATGAGATAATAGCAGTATTCTCTTTCCAAATGAAATTTTCTTCCTCAAGCTGACATGTTAGACAATTTCCATTAGCAAAAGATTCAAAGCTATGATGTCGTATAAGTTCAGAAATTAGAAAGAGAATTTTGTATTCTCCCGTTTGGCATGTTTCTACACAGAAATTTGTGGTGCACACGCAAAGCATCAACATTTTTCAGTTGGGATTTGGGAACCCTCAAACAAAAGATCCATCAACTACATAGAGCATCAACATTTTTCAAAGCTTCAAAAACCAGAACATAGTGAAATCAAAAGAGATCAATCGATCAATGAACAAACCCTAAAAAAGAATTAAGCAAACATGATGAACATAGATGAGCTCGGAAGGACAGCGATGGAAGCTCAGTTGTTGATTTTGATGGTGGTGATGCCTTTCCATTTGGAAATGACCATCTTCTGTACACCGTTTCTCATCTTCACCTCGATCCGGTCTTTCTCATTTCCAACATCAATGAGCCTGGGATGGCAACAAGCGCTAAACCTGAGCCTTGAGCCTAGGCGCGCCTTTAACAACACTGATGGGATTCACAATGAGAACTATCCGACTGAACCTCTGAATCAATTCTGCAAAACGAATGGCATGTTCAAACGTCATGGAATATGATATTACCCAATACCACTTATGATATGGATATGCAGCGCCATTTGTATTTCCTAACCACAAATAGGGAAAAAAATACTATGAAAAAAGCAAAAAACTCTGAATCACCTATCTAGATCATAACCGCCCACTCCCAAAACAAAGTCCATGTCGACAACGCCATATTTAGCCAGCTTTAACTGTGTCATCCCATTGATATGCTGACAAAAGTGCACCAAAAATCCAAAAGCTGCAGAATCAATAGCATGCCAAGGAAAGATGAAAGAGAATTCACTGTTCATTTAACATAAAGCTATACCAGTAGAACATATATGACAAATTAAGCAACATACTAGCACAAGGCTATACCATAAACTATTACATGAATAAGTTGAATAATTGAACCTATTGAGCACTTTCAGTATTAACCCTAGTTTGTTATAGACATGTAAGCTTCAAATGCATTCTTAAATTTTCATTTCTATTTTTTTAATTTTATACCCCATTGACTGCACAAACAGATACCTATTGTGTAAAATATTGTAATTACTTTTTGTGTTCAGAAATTTTAAAATAAGAAATTTCACATAATGCAATTTTCAGTAGACGAGTTGACCATAACATTAATATAGAAAAATATATATCAAAACCAGACTAAAGTTAAATTTGGCTTGTCAAAAGGCAACAGCAAAACCCACAGCTGAACTAACCGAAGAAGTGCCTAAACTTCAAAGAATCGATCATTATGCCGGAATCAAATAGATATAAAAATGCCAACAACCGTTTTACCACTTTCCACATTCATACAAGTTCAGTTTCTCTTGGAACAGTCTAAAAACACCTCTAACCCTCCCAATTCAATGAGTAACCACATTTCAAAGATACAAGTAAAATCTATCTATGTACAAGGTGAAAGCCTAACTGAATTCGCTTTGTCAACACCTCCAATTCAGCCTCAGTCACCAAATCTATCTGCCAACATTATACAATGAAGAGCATAAAGATAGTAGAAAAAGAATTCATTGAATTCCAAAGGAAGTCATAATAAGTCAGCTATAGTTCCTGATTATTGAGAAGAAATCTAATATACCTTGTTTAAAATAATACTAGCAACCAATGAACCCTCAATATCCACCTCACCAAACTGCAATGAAAAACGAGAAAAAAGGCATAAGAAAGTGAGGTTTTACTTGAACCAGTAGTAGAACTGTAAAAAAATAAAAGTTCAGTTTTGAGTATAGACAAGAAATTGGCCTCTGGCCACTCTAGACTATGGGTTAATGTTCATGTTTCACAAACTTTGCAATAGAAATAACTTTTTTTTATTGAATATAGCAAACGGCATAATCCTTTGGTGGCTGATCAGTGTGCAGTCATTACCAGCATGAGACAATGCCAATAACATGCATATATGAAAAGTTTGACAACAACAACCAGGAAACATGGGGTTCCAAAATAGTGATCCACCAGAGTCTTACACCAATTATGTACTAGAATCAACATTTTGGTTTTGGTTATCTAAAGATGAGGTGTTTATAAGCAACGGTAAAACTGGTATACTGGCTTAGGGTTGAGAAATCTATGAAAAACTGATTTTTTATTTTTTATTTTTATTTTTAATTCTTCTACTTTGTGTGCTTGCTTTACATTGAGATTGGGAAAGTAAAAACAGAGAAGGTGATTGAGCTGAAAAGTTGTATTGCTCATGCCCCCACTGTTTGATTACTGAGAAATTGAAAGAAAGGAAAAGCAAATGATATATTGATTGTCAAGTTCGTTTTTGTGGTTGGCAGAATTGGATTTTTATTTTGAAAATTTCGTTATATAGTTGATTGTTTAATTACAATTCGCAGAAAGACAATTTACTTTTTTGTTGCAGTGATTAATAACATTATGTAGATTACCACTGTCACAAAGGGTTTTATTTTGGAATTCAAAAGCTAATTTTATCTTTTGGCTTAAATTAGTCGTTCACATTTGGACCAAATTTGAAAACTGAATTTTTTAAAACTTGGGCCAGCTTTGATCAACCCAAGAGCTTTTAAGTTTCAGATTTCTTGTTAAGCTTTTAAGCTCCAGATTTCTTGGTCATGTTTCACCAGATTTTAACTGAGCTATTAATTTTTTTTTACTTTCTTTTTGATGTTATGGTTGGGATTTTATGGTTGAATTAGTGGAGTTTAAATAGGATTCATCCCTACAAATTTTCAACAGACTCTGTTTCAACAACCAGATTTTCTGATTTTGACGACGTGCCCAATTCAAGAGATTGAGCAGGGAGATAGGAAGAAAAACAGAGCTTGAACTGGGAGAGAAAAAACTAAAAATTGGACCGGGCTAGCTTTTGCAGAGGAATAAGAAGTTGCTGCCCTTTATATTATTATTATTTTCTTTACTTCTACTCTTCTCCTATTTACTCCAGATTTTGGTTAAAATAACAGCACTAGTCTTTAAAGTTGCTGCTCTTAGTTTTTGGCTGTTGGTCTTCTCCTATTTACTGGACAATTTTTTTCCATTGTTTGAATTATAATCTTGCAATGTTGTAGAAGATTTCAAGTCATTTTTCTTGTAGTGCAGTGGTAGAAGTCTTTGTCACCCCTTGTTTAACAAGTTTTGAATTAAACATATTAGACTGACTACAGTAAACTAAAACCGTATTGACTACAGTAAACCATAAACAAATTAGAAATTAATTATCTTAGACTTACCTAAAGCCATGGTGAGAAGGCTACAAACAATTTGCTAACCGCTGGCCCAAATTTGAATATTTGGAGCTGATGAATCCCTTCTCGAGCCTCCAAAAAAGATACAATATAAATAAGATTAAATATTTAATGGGGAATAAGTTGAATCAAAATTTACCAGTTTGGCATGCCGATGAGAAAGGGAAGGAAACATTTTTGTGACGGAGTTCCCAACTCGACCTTCTTTTCATCCCAAGCCTTCACATAACCATTAATTTCTCAGAAATATTAGGAGAGGTTGCCAGAAAAGATGTCATGGAAACTGAAGAAGCAAAAATGAAACAAAAAAATGACATGATTACTCTTTTCCATTGTTATACAACCTAGAATAGAATCAATCATATATTCATATTGACAAAAGATTTAAATCTCCATTCCACCACTCATTTTATATCCATCTAATGTTTATCCAACACCATCAACATGACTTATCAAATAAAAAAGAAACATAAAAAAACAGAGGAACCAAGATGGGGGGACAAAAAAAAAAAAGCAACAAAAAATAATGGACGAGCAGAGATCTCAAAAGAACAAAGTCATATAACATACTCACATAAACAAACCGGAAGAACAAAAAAAAAAAACCTAGATTGATTATATTAATAGATCTACAAATATAGAAACATGAGTTGTACGGAGAAATCAGATCAAAAGGTTCGAAAAAAGAAAAATAAATGATCTTTGCTTATATTCAGAAGATATTCAAGAATCATTGGCATATATGGTCTATTTTGATATCAGCAATGCTTTAAAGAAAAAAATTGTAGGTTAAGTTCTAAATAGAGACACTTTTCACTATTTCTTGCCCACTTAGAAAAGCATTGATTATAGAGGGAAAAAAATGCACAGCAACGCAATTGTAAAACTAGAGACTAGGGGGAGTAAAACTATGATCAAAACTCTTCCAGTATGAAAAACCACAAAGATAGGAAAGCAAAACTAGAAACTAGGGGTAAGACTTGAAAAAAATTCACCAACAAAGAATTCCTACAGAAAAACTGGAACATTCCTAGGTCACGTAATAGAATTTGCAAAAACCAGGAATTAGATCCTCGTGCGCTAATGAATCAGAGTGATGATTTTCGCGATGATGACGAGTTCCAACAGAAGTTGCAGCAGCTGAATTTGCCATCAAATCACTTAAAGAATCAAGCATCCGAGATACCAAAAAAAAAAGGCAAGCGAGGGCCCAGGTACCTCTTTGACCAAGACCAAGAGTAAAATAGAAGATAAAAAAATCTCCAACTCTTTCTGGTCCAAGAAGCCCAAAACGCTTATACCATCTACCAAATATCTAAGTTCACTAACTAATTTAATCATGCAAACTTTAATCAGCGAGGAAACTTAATTTTGTGACTTTATAACCTTGCTTTTAGATATGGCCACCTCACAAGATCATTGTCATGGCATTTTTTCATTGTATCATTTGTACAAACACATGCAATACAAAAATCACTTTAAATCAGTAGGCTTCTTCAAGGGGGGAAAAAGTAGAAGAAAACCTAAATGACAACAATATAAAGTGGCTTTTGAATTCAAACAATCAAAGGAATTTATGATTTTGAGAAAAAGAAAATCAATTTATGATTCACGAAAGGAACTCTAACATATACTCACACATATCTGTTAGGGTTCAAGCTTTTCTGATTTTGTTTCAGAATTTACAAATGAAATTTCAGCCAAAGAAATTAAAATCAAATATGCTTACATGAGCGGATGTGATGAGAAACTCCAACACTCAAATGGCACGATAAATCAACCACCATCAGTCTTGTAGTGTGTCTATGACTCTGTATACACGCAAACAATCAAACACACACACCCACACCCACATATATATATATAGATTTACATATATAGAAACACATATAACACTATAATTGGATTATATCAGTAATCCAATTTGTCACGAAAGGCACGGAAATGGTTAGAGGATTGTTGATCGCTGCTGTTTACAGAGAAGGGGGGAGAGAGAGGTCGGCACGAATGGGATGTGAAAAGAGGAATTAGTAAGTGTACAAAAGGGTATTTTAGGCAATACATAAAATAGGAAGAAGGGTACTTTAGGCAACAGAAATATGAAACAGTATTTTTTCATGTGCCACCTCAGCCTTTGGGTCAAACACATTTTAGAGAAACTTTGAGACTTTGACTCAGCCTCTAAGTAAATATAGTGCCCTAACCTCATTTATATGTAATGATCCCTTGTTCTTTTCCCTTTTTCAAGTGATTAAGTTGTTGTATATTGTGTTACATTGTTTTAAGCTTTCTTGTGTTTTTTTTTTTTTTTTTCAAATTGAGGAAAATTTAGTTTTAAGCTTCTTGTGTTTTATTTTTTATTTATTGAAATCGAGAAGAATTTAGTTTTAAGCTTCTTGTTTTTTTTTTTTTTCAAATGTACGCTGGAATCTGGATACAGAAATATTGAACATTCGGATTATTCCTGGAAGGTAGTTGGGAAGGAAATTATATCAGAGAGAGAAATGGAGAAGAGTCCTAATGTTTTGTTTTTATTTTATTCTTATGGGTAACTGATGGTGTTGTTCTTTTTCCCTTTTCAAGTGATCAAGTTATTGTATATTGTGTTACATTGTTCACAAGCCCAAACTCACTTACTGTCCTCAATTTATATTTATTCATTGATAATTTTTATGTAATGCATTTCCTTTTATAGAGATTAGGTCTGCAAGTTGGGCTGGCTCAACCTAACCCAGTCTTATTCCAACCTCAATCTGAAATCGGGCATCGGGCCTAGCTTTTCGAACCACGCTTCCACTGCTTCAGGGTCTTCAGCAATGCCCTGAGCTATCGGCAATATCGCTAATTTCATGATTAAGAGGTTTAGAGTGTCATTGGCAAAATGTTTAAAATACCCGTAGTGACCGAAAAATGTGCAAAATGTAAAATTAAACCCTAATTATAAGCCAAAAATAAAAATAATGATTCAGCCTAGAGTCATGCAGGTGATGCGTACTTCTTGGAAAAGCATAAAGGAGAGATGAAACTGATGATGGATGCCTGGATGGGGCTGAAGCTAGATGATGTTATTTGGCATCGCTATATGTTAGCTTGTTATTGTTCAGATCTAACGAACACACAACATGTCCACCATCACGAGAATTTAAAAATAATAATTGCCACCATAAAAATGAACTTACCATCAAGAATTAAGACCACCATAATATTGAGAAAGAAGAGAGAGAAAGAGAAAGAAGAGAGAGGAGAGAGAAAAAAATAAAAAATAAAAAATTTCATAAGTTTCTTTTATTTATTTTTTATTTTGGGTTTTGGGTTTTGGGTTAGGTTCGGTTCAGGTTGAGTCCGAGCCAAACCTGAACATGTCTGGGTTTTGACAAAACCCAATCCAATTTAACTCGATTTGTGAATTTAAAGTTCAAATTTGAAAATTTTTAGATTGGGTTTGGGTTGGGTTGGGTTGAGTTTGCCCGCCCAAGTTGCAGCTCTAACAGAGACCATGTATAAAAAAAAGGTCAAATTCAAGAACTTGGACTCCAACAACACTTTACAAAAAAATAAGGTTGTCCATTTGTGTAATCTCGATAAATTATAGACGGTTGCAGTTTTTGTCTTTGTTGTTTACTATTTAAGGCAAGGTAGTGTTTGGAGGAGCCCTTCAAGGAGTTGGCACTTTGATACTGAACAAGTAACGTTGGAGTACATGGAGAGATTGAATAGTCAAGTTCAAAATTTACTGAAAATTAATTCAAAATTCAAACAATCATAACTTTCAATTTGGTTGGAGTTCACACAACCCATGAGATACCATGAAAAGCTTGAGACAAGTTTTTTGCCAACCTCAATTACGAGATTATAGTTGATTTCAAACTCGAAACTAAGTCGTTTCAATCTCATGACTGAGGATATGCCAACTTTTTGGCGGATGATATGATAACTTAACTTTTTGTATTTTGAATGCAATTTTGTTCACCTTTTTGGCGAATGATATGATAACTTAACTTTGTGTATTTTGAATGCGATTTTGTCAAGCAAATACATGGTAGGTTTGAGAGAAAAAATAGGAAAAAATTATTTATAATAAACCTAACAGAACACTTTTGATAAACGTTTTAGGAGTTGACTCTTTTTCTTCAATAAAAACCTAAATTTCTCAATCAATTTTTATGTGTGAGTACTTAAATAAATACATAATCCACTTAAAGTTTTTTAAAACTATATTTTGAGTCCTCTTTCTATTGAATAAGAATCCTAATTTTCTCAACAATCTACATGTGTGAATAAATTGATAAATTGATCAATAATCTTCATATTTGTTATAATTATAAAGTCGAGAGTGCATAAGGTGTGCATATATATGTGTGTGTGATAAAAGTAGAGAAAAGAAAATTAAAGAGAAACTTAATTTAATGTTCGTTCACAATTCTCCTTCAACGAATAATTCATACAAATGCGTAAATACATTATTCATCTTTAAACTTATCTGCTTCCTTAATTTAACTATAACTTAAATACGTTAATATTTCAACAAGAAAGAAATAGTGTAATATCTATTAAAATTAAAGACATATCCGTCTTTCAAATTCGAGATACATACCACGAATTTTTGAGCCGTGTAGCATTTCTCCAAAACATACCAGATTTATATGTATGAAATCTCAATGAGAAAAAACGACAAAATTAAAGCAGTCTACTGGATTGAAGCAAACTTAACATAGACTTATGCTGAAACCACATTGCTAAACTCAAACACAACCAAGCCGAGTTGCTCCAGACCTTACACTCACTCCCACCATCTTGCAAACGAGTCGCTAACCTAAAAAACAATTGCTTCGCAAACAGCTTACTCCCTTCGTAGTGATTTAGTACTCTTCCAAAAAATATCAGTTGTCAAAATGTGGGTGAGTAGATAAGTATTATCTGTAAAAAAAAAAAAGAAAAAAAAAAGAAAAAAGAAAAAGAAAAAGTGGACAAGTATTGTCCAGAAAGAAATATTCCATAAGTATTTAATGTCTATCAAGATGAATTA